GGGGGTGGGGGGGGCGACTCATCCCCCACCAATCAATCAATCAATCAATCAATCAGTAAGTCTATTGATAAATAAAAAAAATAATAAAAAAAAAAAAATCTATGTGTAGCGAGCAAAAAAATCGACACCCCCATAATTATATATATATATATATTTTTACTTATTTTTCGCCTGTAAAGGAAATATCCGAGGGCTGAGTTGAACCACGTTGTAACGGGGTATAAGTCGGAGTTGAAACGGAATTCAACGGGAGTTGAACCGTTCAACTCGAAACCCCCGTTGAACGTGGTTACGGACACAGCCCACGAGGGCTTAAATGCGTGCTGCCGCCCCTCTTCTGCCCCTTCTCCAGCCTCGTCTACGGCTTCCTTTTATTTCTCCCCCGGTTATTCTTCATGCTCTTCCTTCTTCCTTTTTTCTTAAACTCTCCCTCTCCCCTTCTGGCTTCCCTCCCCACCCCGCCCCCTCCGCCTTCACTGTTCCCACTTACCTTTTTCACATGATCCATTTGCGTGATGTGATCGTCGTTTCCATGTTTTTACCTTTACACCCGTGGCGTCTTTTACTCCCCCGACACACTCTACATCTTGTACCTGTGTGCTTTCGAGTGCAAGAGCCGAGCGGATGGGTTAATGCACCGGGACAGATGATCAGGCTACCAAACTGAAGGAAAGCTTGGAGGAGGAAGAGATCGGAATATAATGCCTTCCTACACCTGAAGTACACCAGCCGTGTGATGAAACCGCTTTCCATTAGGAAGATCATAAACGGGGTGCTCAGCAGGGTGATTGGAGATGACACGGCGACTTGGCTAGAACGCATAAGGATTGGGTGGACCTATAATCACAGCATAGCCTCCAGACTATGCAAACCTGCGGAGACCTTATGTGACTTCAGCGTGTCGCAGTGGATGGAAGGTTACGGTCCAGAGCGGTGTCCATGCAGAGCGCGGAGGTACTCAGACATGCGCAGCAACTGGTCGATCGAGCTGCTCCACAACAGGGTTGCACGCACGTCATCACACTGGACTCCTCGATCACAGACAGGCTGATGCTGCAGAACATCATCAATGTTGGCCTCAATCATATCTCGTGCATGGCGCTGGATGTGGATGAAGCAATCGCCGAACTGGGGAACTTTCAGGACGAACTTTTTGCACGGGTGATGGAACTTCGCGACCTCATGGATTCCACCAAGTCGTTTCTTCGAAGGATCATCTTGAAAAAGGGCAGGGAAAGGATGGAGAAGTACCAGGTGTCGCACGGGCACGTTGCTGCGGAGTCATTCGAACAGCCGACTGTCAAGAGGGAGTTAACATTCCTGACTGGTAGATTCTTCATCTACGGACAAGGCTCCCAACACGCCCGCCTTCGTCTGCAAAAACTTTATACAAAAATTGGCCTTCCAAAGACTGTTTGGCCCGGAGTTTGCTAGCATCTCCGCACTGCCTGCACAAGTCATATCTCGCATTCGGGGCGAACTCTCCGCCCTGGCGGCACTCCCTGCTGCAGCAATCTCGCTCCCGTATCTCATGGCGGTACTCGAGGCGCAAAAGGGCACTTTCCGCAGGATCACAAACACGACAAACACCGTTATCTCCCCTGCGACGAAGATCTGCGCCTGCCTACTTCGTTTCGGAATCCTCCTTCCACTTGTGCAAGCCTTCTGTCTGGACAGGAGTCTGGAGGTGGAAGGGCAACATGGCGTCAAGCCCAACCTCTGGTGGGCCATTTCATCGGTGGGGGAGTTCTATGCGAATCTACCGGAGACGGTCTACTCCGTCTTTACGACCGACATTACCAGGTGTTTCGAGACGATCCCGACCGACAACTCGGAAGACAGTGTCACTGCCACAGTCGGATTCTACGTGCAGTGCGCTATCAGGGTGAGGAGGGAGAGGAGCTCTAACCACGCGATCAGGATTAGAATTGGCGGACGCAGCGATCTACAGCCATCATGGGCAGACGCTGAGCAACCGGAGGAGATGGGCACATTGCTGTTCGGGAAAAAGGACATCTGCTGACTCTCGGACTGGTGCATTTTCTTAATTTAGAGGGGTTGGATTGTATTTCGGCAGGTGGCGATTCTGGCGATCCACCTTCGATAGAGAGGATGACGCCAAAGGTCTGCCTTTTTCTTGGGCACGTGCGCAAAGATACACCTAGGCTTGGTTATCAGGAGGATTTCCGTATGAACGTAATATGGAGATTTTTCCTTGTGCGCTTATAAGCTTAGCTTGGGCATTGACCTGTTTTGTGTTACAGGTCCTTCTTTGAACGAGTCGATTTAGGACTTTGGACTAGATTCAGCTTGATCCCACAAGAATCACCTTCTGTTATCACTGATAACAGGTCGGTTGCTGATTTGTCGGTCTACGACTCAACTCCCATTCATCTTCAATACTCAACCTAAAAGGCTTTAGCCCTTGTGATTTTATTGTTTTATTAAGGTTTCACCCATACTTTTCTTGAATGGCTATTTAACAAAGGTACTTAGTATTTAGTTATGGTTTGTTGGACAGGAGGCTGGGGCTTGCAGGGCTAAAGCGAGGGGTATGGGTATAGAGATTGGTTGGAGTTGACTCCGTGTAGTGTGTAGGCTCTTGCTTGACTCTTTGATGTGRTTGCAGGTGTGTTCRGTGGTTCGGATTTRGATTGGTYTRCCTGTGATCATACWTATGTATATGTSGTTGTGAGGAGTCCCRCTATGAYTGTGAGAAGTGATCGTCACATACTTTATTCCCCTTATAAATATATAAAAATATATGTGTACCTATGTTGGAAGTTCGCGTGACCCGAGGGGCCCGCGTATTAAGAATTGAATAGGGGTTGAGATTGAGAAAAAGGAGAAAGACCCCTCCATTGATTGTGTACTTTTGCCTTGCCTGCCGAGACGCTCTGGACAAAGGTCAGAGGTCTCGTGGCAGACGCACGACTATTCCTTACGTCGTGCAATGTCGTAAGGGAGTAGACCCTCAGGACATTTCGAGTATGACACTCGAGTGTCATAAGCAGTACTCCCGATCCACGAGGGACCGCTTGATTATGGACCCTACATAGTACGCCATCTTCATAACTGCTTGCGCATTCATGCATTGCTAATCGATATGAGTAAGACCAGCGGCCGCACGATTTTATACTAAGTATCGCGCTCGTCGCCTGTACGATTTCCACGGTAGAGAGTTATGGGATGACAACTAAGGGACTACGAGAGGTGTCGTGTTGTTTGTCCTATGTCGTTTTGTATATGTACGTGCGTATGATGTGTGTGTTTTTGCTTTTATGTTCTTAGAGTGGTGTGCACGTGGTGAGTGCCTCCTAGTCGACCTACGACACGTCGCGCTTGGGTCCTCAGCCCCTCGAGATACCGGTTCACATGCGGGTTTGATGGAGGAGTAATACCTCGCGTACCCCCTATGCTACAACGAACGAGAAACGCCCTCCGCTAGTCCACCTCTGCTATTGCAACTGATCAACTTTCGTATTGTGGACTGGTAACTCGGCGGGGATACGCCCACCGAAGGGAGGTAACATCTCCCATAAGGTGGAGGTAAGTCGTGCCTCGCGTAGGCCCGATCCTTTCGTAGAGGCTTGCGAGAGGTATGGCTCACGCACTCGGTCGGACCGGCTTATAGAAGCTCCATGTATATTCACGACGAAGGAAGAGGCCAACAACTGCGTGACGTGGTCGGGAGGGTCCCACGCTACCCTGTGCGGTGCCGGACCGATACGCTCGACAGGTGGCGTCGTTGTCGGGGATAACGGAAGCCTACCGTTGTCCTTGGTGAAACGACCTCCGGATATCAGATTGAAAGAAAATCAGGCATATAGGGAAGGCATGGATAGATCGTGGGATGGATTGTATGGTGCCTTGCGCTATGTTGCACGCCCGGCCGCGGCCTCGACCGACCAACCCAGTTCGGTGCAACAATTTTTTTTCGATTTTTCACGTCGAAAAAAAAATCAAAAAAAGGTCGTGTAGGGTTTTTTCAGCCCTACACGCCCATATATTTTTTTTTCGTGTCCGACATTCTGCGCCACACCGGAAAAAAAAAAAAAAACGGAACCAAAAAAAAAAAAAAAAAAAAAGGCCCGCCGGCCCTGTTTCAGTGCCGCTGGGTCGGGGCACTGTGTGGGCACTGGATGTGGGGGGCGGTGGGTCCAGGCCCGGGCCACGACAAATCTTTTGCCGTTTCAGATAAATGCTCTCATTTATCTGAAACGGCAACAGTTCTTGCTGTTGCCATTAGGCTGCCGCCCTGCTTGCTTACACGCTCAGATAGAGAGAGAGAGAGAGAGAGAGAGAGAGAGAGAGAGAG